GCTTCAGTGTTTCTGAGTTCCGGTTGGAGAGATGCTGCTGTGCTGAACAACAAGGTACAGTAACATAAGATAAGCTAAGCTAGCGTTAGCGGTGAAAGTCGCCTCACTCTCTCTGTTAAGTTTAAACTTCTCTGTTAAGTTTAAACTTCTCTGTTAAGTTTAAACTTCTCTGTTGAGTTTAAACTTAACAGAGAAGTTTAAACTTCTCTGTTAAGTTTAAACTTCTCTGTTAAGTTTAAACTTCTTTATCTAATGCAGATAAATCCGGCTTAACATCCAGTAAAGATGAACCGAGTCCCGCTGAGTAATCAGTGAAATGTTTAAACTGAAGACAGCTGACACTCAACACTAAACTCTGTGGACCTGTGTTCAGTGACCTGTGGACCTGTGGCTTAGTGGACCTGTGGCTTAGTGGACCTGTGGCTTAGTGGACCTGTGGCTTAGTGGACCTGTGGCTTAGTGGACCTGTGGCTCTGTGGACCTGTGGCTCAGTGGACCTGTGGCTCAGTGGACCTGTGGCTTAGTGGACCTGTGGCCTGTGGCTTAGTGGACCTGTGGCTTAGTGGACCTGTGGCTTAGTGGACCTGTGGCTCTGTGGACCTGTGGCTTAGTGGACCTGTGGCTTAGTGGACCTGTGGCTTAGTGGACCTGTGGCTCTGTGGCTTAGTGGACCTGTGGCTTAGTGGACCTGTGGCTCTGTTGGACTTTGTCACAATGAGACGACTTTTAACACGAATCATAAACCGGGTTCTGCTGACCGAGCCGCTCACACCGAGGATGGGACAGGACGCAGAGATACACACACAAGGCCGCAGGACACTGGTGAGTTTAAACCCTCACATCATGAGTTTAAACCTTCACATCATGAGTTTAAACCTTCACATCATGAGTTTAAACCTTCACATCATGAGTTTAAACCTTCACATCATGAGTTTAAACCTTCACATCATGAGTTTAAACCTGAGTTTAAACCTTCACATCATGAGTTTAACCCTCACATCATGAGTTTAAACCTTCACATCATGAGTTTAAACCTTCACATCATGAGTTTAAACCTGAGTTTAAACCTTCACATCATGAGTTTAAACCTTCACATCATGAGTTTAAACCTTCACATCATGAGTTCAAACCTTCACATCATGAGTTCAAACCTGAGTTTAAACCTTCACATCATGAGTTTAAACCTTCACATCATGAGTTTAAACCTTCACATCATGAGTTCAAACCTTCACATCCTGAGTTCAAACCTGAGTTTAAACCTTCACATCATGAGTTTAAACCTTCACATCATGAGTTCAAACCTTCACATCCTGAGTTTAAACCTGAGTTTAAACCTTCACATCATGAGTTTAAACCTTCACATCATGAGTTCAAACCTTCACATCATGAGTTTAAACCTGAGTTTAAACCTTCACATCATGAGTTTAAACCTTCACATCATGAGTTCAAACCTTCACATCCTGAGTTTAAACCTGAGTTTAAACCTTCACATCATGAGTTTAAACCTTCACATCATGAGTTTAAACCTTCACATCATGAGTTCAAACCTTCACATCCTGAGTTCAAACCTGAGTTTAAACCTTCACATCATGAGTTTAAACCCTCACATCATGAGTTTAAACCTGAGTTTAAACCTTCACATCATGGGTTTAAACCTTCACATCATGAGTTTAAACCTGAGTTTAAACCTTCACATCATGAGTTTAAACCTGAGTTTAAACCTTCACATCATGGGTTTAAACCTTCACATCATGAGTTTAAACCTTCACATCATGAGTTTAAACCTTCATGAGTTCAAACCTTCACATCATGAGTTTAAACCTTCACATCATGAGTTTAAACCCTCACATCATGAGTTTAAACCTGAGTTTAAACCTTCACATCATGGTTTAACCTCACATCGTGAGTTTAAACCTTCACATCATGAGTTTAAACCTGAGTTTAAACCTTCACATCATGAGTTTAAACCTTCACATCATGACTTTAAACCTTCACATCATGAGTTTAAACCTTCACATCATGAGTTTAAACCTTCACATCATGAGTTTAAACCTTCACATCATGAGTTTAAACCTTCACATCATGAGTTTAAACCTTCACATCATGAGTTCAAACCTTCACATCATGAGTTTCAAACCTTCACATCATGAGTTTAAACCTTCACATCATGACTTTAAACCTTCACATCATGACTTTAAACCTTCACATCATGACTTTAAACCTTCACATCATGACTTTAAACCTTCACATCATGAGTTTAAACCTTCACATCATGAGTTTAAACCTTCACATCGTGAGTTTAAACCTTCACATCATGAGTTTAAACCTTCACATCATGACTTTAAACCCTCACATCATGAGTTTAAACCCTCACATCATGAGTTTAAACCCTCACATCATGAGTTTAAACCTTCACATCATGAGTTTAAACCCTCACATCATGAGTTTAAACCCTCACATCATGAGTTTAAACCCTCACATCATGAGTTTAAACCTTCACATCATGAGTTTAAACCTTCATATCATGAGTTTAAACCCTCACATCATGAGTTCAAACCTTCACATCATGAGTTCAAACCTTCACATCATGAGTTTAAACCTTCACATCATGAGTTTAAACCTTCATGAGTTTAAACCTTCACATCATGAGTTTAAACCTTCATGAGTTTAAACCTTCACATCATGAGTTTAAACCTTCACATCATGAGTTTAAACCCTCACATCATGAGTTTAAACCTTCACATCGTGAGTTCAAACCTTCACATCATGAGTTTAAACCTTCACATCATGAGTTTAAACCTTCACATCATGAGTTTAAACCTTCATGAGTTTAAACCTTCACATCATGAGTTTAAACCTTCATGAGTTCAAACCTTCACATCATGAGTTTAAACCCTCACATCATGAGTTTAAACCTTCACATCGTGAGTTTAAACCCTCACATCATGAGTTTAAACCTTCACATCATGAGTTTAAACCCTCACATCATGAGTTTAAACCTTCACATCATGAGTTTAAACCTTCACATCATTAGTTTAAACCTTCATGAGTTTAAACCTTCACATCATGAGTTTAAACGCCTCACATCATGAG